TTGAAATTAGGAGGGCCTGCTTTGTCTCATGCTGTCGAGAAAATTACCAGGTAGTTGACTGAGAAGAGTTAAACAAGATATAGCTTATTACATGGTAACAATCAGGTACATATTACATTGTCTTCACAACAATGTCTACCAAACCAGTGAGGAGACCCAGATGTAGGTTTGTCTCATTCAAGGTCCACAGCTTTACGACTTGTCCCCTCCCAATTACTCATGGCAAGATCCAATGGGGTGGAACTAACTTAATGCAGTCTTTAACATTAACCCTTTCAGAACCACTATCTGTTACAACATTTAGCACTTCCAAATCATCCTGGGTGGGCAAAGAAATATTCATCAGGAGCGTCATCTGATCAAGACTGTCTTCAGATAACAAAGCTTTTACTCCAAGGATCAGGGAGGAAGCAAGTCAGCATGTGAACAATGACCAGAGACAATACCAAATGGACAGTAACATCTATGCATTGTTAAAAAAAATATAGAATGTAATATCTCAGCATTCACCAGTCCGCCAATAAGACTACAAGCAACTAACTTCAAAACACGCTAAAAATCAATCCGTTCAAGGGAATCCATTAGTTATCATTGTATATGGTTGGTGAATCCACATAGACTACCAGAGTGAAAATGCCTTCCTTATTGGGTTTGCAATGCATGCTTTCTCCTGAGCCAAGACAATTGACCAAATTATGAACTTCTTTATAACTTGTACAAGTGTCCTTACTTGAGTTTTTCCTCCATTGTACACTGTTGTGTGACATACCAATGGATTTTCAAGAGGAAATGCATGAACAAGTAATCCTCTTTATTTAAACTCACAATAGCTTGCTGTTGCTTTTTCATATTGAAGACACAATCAGGACTTAATAAAAACATATGTCTTCTTTTTCAAAAACACATTGATTATGGCAAGAATATTGGGATTTCAGTGCTCTGTCTACCCAGATAATAACTTGTACATAGTTTGGGCGGGTCAGGGAGTGGAATTTTAGCCGGAGGCTGCTATAGTCCAGGAAATGCATTTGCCAACCCCTTTACCCCAACCATTAAATTGCCCATTTGAATCCCAGGCAATTTTACTGCCTGGTCTTTAGTTAGATCCGGCCAGCACATGCCCACGTGAAATGGGCAGAGGGAGTCATATAGCAGATCAGGCCTCCTGGCCATCTCCCTTTGGCACACACCTTAGTAACCAGAACACTGCACCATCATTAACTGCCAAAACGTGTGCTTGTTGAATGGATAGGAGTCGCTGACTTTGGCAGGAAAAGTTGGGACTAATTTTTGAAAAGAATAAAAACCAAGATGTTATTTTCTGAACATTAAAAACAATTGAGTATGTTTTGGCTTGAGGGGCCTTTATTTTTACAGGATCTGATGTATGAAGACAGCTGTGCATTGAACTATATGACCAGAATTGAAGGGACTGCTTCCATCTTATGAGATTAAGTGTGCTATAGGAAAGATATTGTGAAACCTGAAAGGGTGCAGAAAAGATTTACAAGGATGTTGCCAGGGTTGGAGGGTTTGATCTATAGGGAGAGGCTGAATTAGGCTGGGGCTGTTTTCCCTGCAGCGTCAGATGCTGAGGGGTGACCTTACAGAAGTTTATAAAATCATGAGGGGCATGGAAAGGATGAACAGCCAAAGACTTTTCCCTGGGTGGGGGACTCCAGAACCAGAGGGCATAGGTTTAAGGTGAGAGGGGAAAGATTTAAAAGGGATATAAGAAACAACATTTTCAGACAGAGGGTGGTGCGTGTATGGAACGAGCTGCAAGAGGAAGTGGTGGAGGCTGGTACAATTACAACATTTAAAAGGCATCTGAATGGGTACATGAATAGGAAGGGTTTAGAGGGATATGGGCCAAATGCTGGCAAATGGGACTAGATTTAGTTAGAATATGTGGTCAGCATGGACGAGTTGCTGAAGGGTATGTTTCCGTGCTGTACGGCTCTCTGACTGCATCGGCCACAGGTCATGCTGTCTTATTGTATCATGCGTTTACAAAATATAAAATGTCCTGCTCTTGTCAATTGGCTTCAAAGCATTTCACCTCTCACCTGGAAGCAACCCATTAACGTGGACCTTGAAGTGACAACTGTCCAATGACAGATGGTAATTGTACCATTGCTAATAGTGTAACAGATCAGTTCTGAAACCAGACAATTGAGACAAAATGTTCAGGAATTGACTTAAGTAGAATAGAATTTGCAGCAATATGACTGGGTATGCGATGTGTAGCATTCATATTGCAGAGCTACAACAAAGAGTTGGGAATGGATCACCATTTCTATAGGCCCCTATGAATGTGAGCAGAGAGAAATGTAAAGAGGCTGTTTGATTAGGAAACACACAGCAATTTGGCTTCATATTAAACACAGAAACATAAAATATTTGCATGACAGAAGAAGGTCATTTGACCCATCTTGTTACCAGTTGATTCGATATTTCCCACTTTTTTTTCAATTCGTATCCTCTCTTTCTTAAGAAAAGGACTCGAGATGATAAACCACTGGCAATCATAGATTTTTATATTCAATCAGTATTCACTCCTCGGCTGTTGTAAGCCATGCCCAGTGAAAGGTCTGTTTCTGTGCTCTGCTCTTTGTAATAACCTGGGGAACATAGCCACAATGCTGGTGGGAGGGATACCTGTTCAAGGTAATTTATTACCAGCGCACAAAGAGGAAGAATAAGGATTCTTCCAATCCAGAAAGATAAATAGCACCTATGTGAATTAAGTAATTGTTTTAGAAGCTGCCATTAGCTTAATTGCTTTAAGCATAAAGCTGCATGTGTTGCAGTCTGTCAATCTGAAATGTACTAAGGTGCACACTTGACAGAAAGGACAATGAAATGTAACATACTCCACCCTCGGCTGGTATCATTGATTCAGTATGGTCCTGTCTGTTCTATAAGATCATAAGAACATAAGATATAGGAGCATAATTACATAATTCGGCCCATCACATCTGCTCTGCCGTTCCATCATGGCTGATGTGTTTCTCAACCCCATTCTCCTGCCTTCTCCCCGTAAACCTTGATCCCCTTATTATTGAAGAACTTATCTATCTCTGTCTCAGATACAGTCAATGACTTGGCCTCCACAACAATGAGCTCCGAAGATTAATCACCCTGTGGCTGAAGAAATTCCTCCTCAACTCAGTTCTAAAGGGTTGTCCCTTCACTCTGAAGCTGTGCCCTCAGGTCCTAAACTCTCCTATTAGTGAAAACATCTTTTCCATGTCCACTCTATCCAGGCTTCTCAGTATTCTGTAGGTTTCAATCAGATCCCCACTCATCCTTCTAAACTCCATAGACTACAGACCCAGAGTCCTCAACCGCTCCTCAAATGACAAACCCATCATTCCTATTCTTGTAAACCTTCTCTGGAACCCCTCCTGTGCCAGCACATCCTTAGATATGGGCCCAAAACTATTCTCAATATTCCAAATGCAGTCTGACCAGAGCCTGAGCAGTACATCTCTGTTCTTGTATTCTAGCCATCTTGAAATGAATGATAACATTGCATTTGCCTTCCTAACTGAACGTGCATGTTAACCTTAAGAGAATCCTGAACTAGGACTCCCAAGTGCCTTTGTGCTTCAGATTTCCGAAGCCTTTCCCCATTTAGAAATTAGTCTACGCCTCTATTCTTCCTAGCAAAGTGCATAATGTCACACTTGCCTGTCCAAACATCATTTGAAACCTGAGTTAGCAACACAAAATTACACCTTCAGTGAGAGTATCACCTTGCCGTAAAAGTCAGACTTAGTGAGAATCAGCTGCAACATGTTTCATACAAGAATGCATAGCCCCTCCCTGGGAAATCTCACTCATCCAGTGTGCACTATTAGTCTGGATATTCTCACTGTGCTACCCAATAGCTCAGATGATAGACTTGATAAATTTCGACAATGAAGCCGGGATATAGGAATCTGACCTGCATCACGTTGAAGAGTCATCTCCTGGTTGAAAGTTAATCACTGACTTAATCTTATCCTTGTTCAGGATCAATCTGTCAACGAGGTGCATTGAGAAGCTGCCATTGTACAAATGTTTAAGGCTATAAGACTGTCAATCTGAAGCAAATAATTCTAATGGTTTTTCTAAGAGATTCTCCTACAACCTTGCATTTGGAGTTTGTTAAACTTAATAAAAGTCGTTACTGAATAAAGAATAAGTTGAAAGGTAAAATGGCAAAAAATTTCAATTTTTTGGCACCTTCTCGAAAACTAATTTTGCCAGGTTTAGAGGCCTAATAAATGTATACATCCCTCAGCGAGCTCAGTAATAATTATGACTATTATACGCTTTCCATTTTGCTATTTGTGGAAGCAAGCCAAAGGGTAAACATCTTTGAATACAGTCAAACATCTGGAATTTATAGTGTTCACACCCAAGAAGTGGAATTAATACAAAAGACCATATTCCCTTTCGTGTGAGCCGCCACGTATCTAGACTGTAACATTGCAAATGTACTTGCCAGAGGTACCATCAGATTACAGCAGTCTTCATATCAAAGGGTGTTTGACTAATCTTAAGATACAACACCAGGGCTAGAGCTGGTTTTATAAACCTTATGACTTCATCTAATGAAGTTAAGATGGCGCTTTGATTTATTGTCACTGTTTCATCTGGTTATTATTGGAGTCTGCTACCTTTTTGCTTAAGGAATCATTTCTAGTCTTCTGTTTCTACCTCTCCCTCTCTCCTGCTCAATATCTATCTCTTTTACCAAACGTTTGGTCACCTGGCCCAATAGATCCCGGTGTTGGCTGGGAAGCAAAGTTTCTTTTGACGTTCATCCCAGTGAAGTGCCTTGGGATGTTTTACTATGATAAAGGCAGCTAAGTAAGTGCATGTCGTGAATGATGCATAAATTACCAGGATTGGTGTGTGAACGCGCCTGGGAATGTGAAATGAAAATGGACAAATCTGTTATTGTCAAATTTGCGCGACAAATCATGTATCATTCTGATGTTTTTCAGGTTACGTCCATTGGACATAGAGTTCATGAACCGTCTAGACAAAATAGTCAATATTGTCCCAGTTATCGCTAAAGCTGATACACTCACTTTAGATGAGAGACGAGACTTTAAACAAAGGGTATGTACATCTGACTGTCCTCTACACTGCGAATATACAATGTCCATTCCATTTTCAATTCTACCCATATTTAATTCAATTGTTTTTTTTTCTTCTTCTTCTTCATTTATTTAACCACTTTGGACCAAGACAGTTATCAATAAGTTGAGCTCAGAATTTGGTTAATGCCCGCAATCTCCTGATCTAACAATGTATTCTTCTAGAGCTTTGTAGAATGAGTTATTTTCACTGCTGGTTTAAAAATTGGCCCATGTTCAACCTGCCCAGAACTGAAGGATTCTATTTTTTTGTTTTGCTGAGGTTAGTTCTTTTACTGGAACGCTTTCTTTATTAGAAACAGTTGGTTGGTGCAATCAGAAGATCTTTCTCGTAAAAGAGGCTTTGCTGTTCTTTCCCTTCCTCCTTCCTAGAACTTAGGGTTTCATGTACCTGTGTGCTGGGAGTCCTGGATTTTGGTAGCCAACATTGAGGCCAGTGCATTTTGCAGCAGACTGCACCCATGCTGGGAAGGAGTGGAAGATTGGAGGAGAGGTGCCTGGCATCTCAGGGTGCCATTGCTGACACTGACATGGGTCTGAAACCATCTCCATCTGCCAGAAATGGAGGCCTAGAATGTGAACTGTGCACAGACCTGAAGTAGCATCTGCCTAAACGGACCAATGATGTGTCTAGAGAATGTTGGCCCTCTGGCTTCATTTTGCATAGGAGTGGTGAGCTACAGCCCCCTGTTGCAGACCCCAGAGAGAGCAGTGGGAGTTATAGCCATAGAGTCATAGAGGTGTACAGCACAGAAAAGGACCCTTCAGCCCAGCAAGTGAGCGCCAGTCGGAAAAAGGGCAGCACGGTGGCTCAGTGGTCAACACAGCTGCCTCACAGCACCAGGGACCAGCTTTGATTCCAGCCTCAGGCAAATGTCTGTGTGGACTTTGCCCGTTGTCTCCATGGGTTTCAGCCGGGTGCTCCAGTCTCCTCCCAGAGTCCAAAGATGTGCAGGTTAGATGAATTGGCCGTGCTAAATTGTCCCATAGTGTCCCAAGATATGCGGGTTAGGTGGGTTAGCCATAGTAAAAAACCCCATGCAGGGTTATGGGGATGAGGTGACTCTGGGTGCCATGCTCTTCGGAGGTTTGGTGCAGACCCAATGGGCTGAATGGCCTCTTTCTGCACAGTAGGGATTCTGTGATTCCATGAACTATTCTATTCCCATTTTCCAGTGAAAGTGAGTGTGTTGAGCTGGCTGGGATATAATGGATGGGGGTAGGGGGTGGGATTCCAATGGCTGTCCCCAACAGAACCACTTCCTCAGTTACCATACTATCCCCCACCTACTTCGCATCTTAAGGTGTCATACGATCATTTCAGCACACAAGGTGACTATTCAGTCCATCAGATCGATACTAGGACTCTGTAGAGCTGTCCACTCAGTCCCATTATTCCCTGTATCCCTGGCAGCCTGCAGGCTTACTTCCCTCAAGCGCCTGTCCAATTTTCCTTTAAAATCATTGATCACCTTTGCTTCAACCCCATCTTGAGTTCCAAGTTACCATTTCCTGATCCTCATTCCATCTTTTAATAGGAGCTGCTTTCCTTTCTCTGTCTTAGCTGTCAAAGTCCTGCACGCCAAAGTTGGTCCCTCCTCAATCTCCTTTGCTCCAAGGAGAACCACCTCAGCTTCCCCAATGTGACCTATCAGGGGCTTTACCATTGACCAGAAACTGAACGAGACTGGTTATATGAATACTGTGGCTACAAGAGCTGGTGAGAGGCTGGGACCCCTGCGGTAAGTAACTCACCTCCTGACTCCCCAAAGCCTGTCCACCGTCTACAAGTAACCAGTCAGGAGTGTGATGGAATACTCCCCACTTGCCTGGATGGGTGCAGCTCCTACAACACTCAAGAAGCTTGACCCCATCCAGGAGAAAGCAGCCTGTTTCATCAGCACCCATCAGCACCTCCACTCTCCCCACCACCAATGTATTCTCTACAACATGCGCTGCAGCAACTCACCCAAGCTCCTTTGGCAGCATCTTCCAAACCCACAATCTCTCACAACCAGAGGGACAAGAGCAGCAGATACAATGGAATCCACCATCTAAAAGGTTCCTCTCCAAGTCACACACCATCCTGACTTGGAACTATCTTGCTGTTCCTTCACTGTCACCGGTTCAGAATCCTGGAACTCCCTCCCTAACAGAGCTGAACTTCAGCAGTTCAGGAAGGCAGCTCACTATCACCTTCAGGACTGTCTGGGGTGAACAGCCAACGACATCCACATCCCATGAATGGATGTGAGCAGCGAAACCCCTTCTCCCCAAACCAGTACACGTGCCCGACTTTGCATTTTGAGAAGCAGTGTGAATTGAGACGCTGCTTTGGGGAAAATAAATCCTTGTGAGCCAGTGGACAGCTTTTCTCACATCATGTCCTGTATGCAGTAATTTCAGTTGCTGTGTTATTTTCAGTTCCAATTCACTTCCGACATCCTTACCCTGCTGTAAGTTAATGCAGAATTTCTTAAAATTCCATCTTCCAGATGTTCAGGCATGTCCATATTGTGTTTCGTAAAATAATATACCCGTCATGCATTGGTGCTCAAAAATCTGTTTCTTACTTGCAACCTGGCCTTTCTACATTTAACCATGAATATTTTCTTACGCTTAAGGCAATGGATTCAATAGAAACTGGAGCTGATTGCATCAATTGCAGGAATTCACATTTGGCATCTACCAGCTAATGAATCTCTTTACTTGCTCAATACATTAACACCTCTCCTACTAGCAGCCTCTAACCTCAGTCTTCTTCATTGATTTTTAGATTCGACAAGATCTGAGAAACTATTCCATTAGTGTTTATCCACAGACAGAATTTGATGAAGATCCAGAGGACAAATTACTAAATGATACAGTGCGGGTAAGTCTGCATGTTTGGGGCAAGCGATTACTGAATCACAGTCCACAACAACAACAACAAAAACAAAGTTGCTGTAAAAGCTCAGCAGGTCTGGCAGCATCTGTGAAGGAGAAAATAGAGTTAACATTTTGGGTCTGGTGACCCTTCCTCAGAACAGTCCACAACAGCCCAGTTGGTAATTGAATCTCAGTTCACTAGATCCCAGTTGGTAACTGAATCACAGATCGCTAGATCCCAATTGGTAACTGAATCACAGATCACTAGATCCCAGTTGGTAAATGAGTCGCAGTTCACCAAATCCCAGTTGGTAACTGAGTCACAGTTCACTAGATCCCAGTTGGTAACTGAATCACAATTCATTACATCCTAACGAATGATTGAATCTCAGTTCATTACATCCCAGTGGGTGTGGAATTGTGATTCATTACATCCCAGTGGATGTGGAATTGTGATTCATTACATCCCAGTGGATGATTGAATCGCAGTCCTTTACATCTGATTTGATTTGTTACTGGCTAGTTTGCAAGTTACTTCGAAGCATTTTCCTCCACTTTCTCCTTGATGCTAAAATCAGCAGTAAAGTAAGGAAACCAACCACGTCTTACAAACAGAAAATAGGTCTCTCCCGACAATAATCTATCTCTATTCCTCTCATTCGATTCCAACACTGTCAGGCCATGCTGTGGTTCTGCATTTGTTTCCCTCTTCCTTCTTGTATGGCTTAGTGGTCATTTCCTGTCTGAATCAGTAGCTGTAACCCTAACCCTAACTCTCCATTGTATTCGATGGCAATAAATAAAAATTCCCGAACACACAGGCTTCTCACTACAAACTATTGACCATGCCACTAAACCATAAATATTATTGAAGGAGTGAAATTTCAGATTTACCCTGCCATTTCAATTGCTGACAATATTGTTATGATTCAAATTAAGAATTATTACAAGCGAAATTACCTTGGAGCTTTATGTTTAACTACTACTTCAGAGTACCTCACCAAACCTTCTCCAATGTTGCCCACCAAACCCATGCCATTGTCTGCCACCTAGAAGGATAAGGGCATCAGATGGGAATACCATCGCCTGTAAGTTCTGTCCTGATTTGGAAATACGCCGTCGTTCCTTCCTGGTTGCGGGGGACAAAATCCTGGAGTTCTTTGACTAACTGCACAGTGGGTGTACCCACCAGCCACTCCCACCAGCCCCCAGGGACTGCAGCAGTTCAAGGTGGCAGCTCACCACCACCTTCTCCAGGGCAATCGGTGCCACTGATGCCCACATTGCATGAAGAAATAGTTTAGAAACAGTTCCACAGAGAGGCCTAGAATTTGCCCTTCTTTTTAATTCTGCAGTGCTGCAAAAGGCTAACTCCACTATAATGGCAGAGCTTGTTCCAAATGTGCAATACAGCAGAAAGCTCTGCGCTAAAGACTTTGTAGCCTCAGATTGTTATCACAGCCTCAGTCAGGTGAGGTAAAACCAAACACACTGTCTTTGCAGCATTTTGTTCAGGTTGCAGGGACCAGTGCCAATATAAAGTATCATCAACCAGCACATTAAATATTAGTTCAGTGGGTAAAGTAGCATGTCAGAGGAAATGAACCATTTATTTCAAACATGCTTCAATTGGCCGCACTCACACAACAAACGAATACAAGCAGAAAGTTCAGTTTTGCGGCCTTCAAAAATAGTGCCTGAAGGCTTTAACATTGAGGTAACTCACTGACTATCAATATAAATCTTGCACTCTCCCACTGTCAACTTTCACCATTATAAAGTCTGATATTCTCTCTTATAATGGGAACTGGCTCATGAAAACCACAGCACAATATGAATTGTACCCTCCCACTATCACTGCCACAAGAGTGAATGAGAGGGGAAAAAAAAGGGGGTGGGGTTTCCACATTAAATATCATAGGAATTTACAATGGGAACAGAGAGGAAATATGCACCAACACAAGATCTTTAATGCATTGCAGATTGTACCTCATCAAATATTGCAGTCAGATAAAGACACTGTGAGGGGGGATTCACCCTCCCCTGATGATTAATGCTACTTGGTGCCTCACATAACTGAGACCATGAATTTTTCTTGGGGATATCAATGCAGAACTTTTCATAGATCATAGAATCCCTGCTGTGTGGCCCATTGAGCCCACACCAACCCTTCAAAGAGCATCCCACCCAGACCCCCTTGATCCCTGTGACCCTGCCTTTCCCATGGCCAATCCACCTAGCCTGCACACCTTTAGATTGTGGGAGGAAACCCACACAGACACAGAGAGAATGTACAAACTCCAGACAGATAGTTGCCTGAGGCTGGAATTGAACCCGGGTCCATGGTGCTGTGAGGCAGCACTGCTAACCACTGAGCCACCGTGCCACCTGTTTTAAAGCATTTTGCTATTACAAGGCTCAGCATATTAATTGAGAGCATCACCACATCAGGGAAGTTTTGTACTTTGTGATTAAGTATGCAACTCTTTGTTATTGGAACAGCACAAGAGATATCAATTGCAAGCACAAGAGCTCTTCATCAGTCAGCACCAAACATTATGGTATCAACTCTGCAGACCCAAAGGCATCAGAAATCCATGCCATTCCGGAAGACTCATACTTTGAAGTCACATCTCTGATTAAATATGTCAGCACAAGGGTAGATTCCCTCTTCACTTATCCAAGAGGATTAGGGCTCCAACAGGAATTGACTGGGAAACTAAACCAGGGTGAACTGCATGCCAGGATCAAGAGTCTTTGGCCCTAGTGCGAAATCACTTGACAATGAGTACCCTGGCAACAGGGCTCCCGTCTCTTTAAAAGTGGAAATTCTGCCTCCAAGCATAGCTGACCACTCAGAAAGCTGAGATAACACAGTATGGAGCTGGAGGAACACATCAGGCCAGGCAGCATCAGAGGAGCAGGAAAGCTGATGTTTTAGGTATGGACCCTTCTTCAGAAATAGGGGAGGGTAGGGGGCTCTGAAATAAATAGAGAGGAGGGGTGGGGCTGGGGAAGGTAGATGGGGTGGTGATAGTGTGTGCAGGTAGGCAGTGGTGGGGATTGGTCAGTAAAGTGAGAGAAGTGGATAGGTGGGAAGAAGACGGACAGGTCAAGGAGGCGGGGATGAGAGGTAGGTGGGATGGTGATAGGTGAGTGCAGGTGGGCAATGGTGGGGGTTGGTCAGTAAGTTGGGAGGAGCGGATAGGTGGGAGAGAAGATGGACAGGTCAAGGAGGCGGGGATAATAGGGAGGGTTGGTCATGGGACGAGGTCGGGGGTGGGGAGATTTTGAAACTGGTAAAGTCCACATTGGGACCATTGGGCTGTAGGCTCCCAAGGCAGAGTATGAGGTGCTGCTCCTCCAGTTTCCAGGTGAAAGCTGGCAGCCTTTGTGTCCCAGCATTGCTACTGGGAGCACCCACTGCTGGGACTGCAACCGGATCAGGGAGTAAGGAGGGCTACTTAGTCAGGTAGGCAGTGTCGTAGTGGGAGCAGGGCTGCATGGTGTTGGTCATTGGTGAGGGTGAGGATATGTTGCTGAGTGCCCCTGATGCCAAACAGTGCCCCCGGGGGCTACGGGCACTGTGGCAAAAGCCATTCGCAGCAATAGTGGGAAGTGACCTTTAATCAGTCAGTTATGGACCTCAATTGACCTGTGAGTGTGAAGGCCATCTTTGGCCTTCCTTGCCACTAACCATCAGAGTTGAGAAGGTGACCAACACTCCTCCTTCTTATTAACCCCACACCTTCCTGCCCACCCCCCTGGCCCAGATAAAACTCTGTATAGTGTCATCAATTTCTAGCACATTAGAGTGATGAACAGAAATCATTGTTACCGTGTTTGACTTACGGATCCACGTGGTCCCCTTTGCTTTCCCAAGTGGTTGAATAAACGCCTTGTCAGACTCAAACTATACCTGTAAATAGATTTATATGAGCAATAAGTTGATAAGTAAACAGTAGCGAAGATATACACTGCACGACATAATATACAAACCAAAACTGTCCTCATTGGAATCTTGAAAGTAACAGTCATATTTCTGACGCTGAAAGTAACTGTGACACTGGGTATAGTTCTGTGCTGACTCAGTGGTTTGCCCCTAACCTTCCAGGGAGCCAACTCCCCCTCTCACAGCTTCAAAGAGGTTGCAGCCTTGATTCAAGTGCTCAGTAGGTGTGCTTTACAACTTGAAAAAAATTACCAACATTTCTATGACACTTAGTACCTCTCAATGTGCTTTACAGAAAATTAAGTATGTTCAAACTGTTGGAAACTCCTTTGAAGTTCTCTCCAACGCTGGGGAAATCAAATGTATACATTGTACAACAGCCACTAGGCTATCAGGCATCCACCAACATCAAACACAAAGGATGGTTGGTGTTTGAGAACCCTTTCAAGTCACCATTTGTTGCTGCAAGATGCCAATAGTTGTACAGATATCTGAGCTAATTCTGGGCTAAATGATGCAAGTAGCTTTGCAACAGGGATGAGCACATTAAAACTGCTCTTTATTCCATTCCAGCAGAAACTAATCTGTTCTCATTTACATTAGCAAGACTGTCATATCTTTAATGGATCCAGGCTGATAACTTTATTTATGCATTAGGTTATTGGATCCGGAAATGTTTTGTGAAGGGCAATATCTGAGATGGAGATGTTCCCACTTTTAACGGAGAATTTGGATGAAGATTTGATGTCGGGGAAGATGTAGGAGCAATGTTTGGGTGGTTTATGCAAAGAGGCAACATACATTGTCGGGGCCGAATGGTCATCTTCAGTGTTTTAAATTTCTTCAGCTTATTCGATGAATGGCAAAAAGAAATTGTAGATTAACGTGACAGAGAACTAACATTTTCCATGATGTTCAGAATTGAGCCGAATCAATATATCTCACTGTGCAGAAATGGTAGCACTGAGCCAAGTAAATTGTTCAATTTACTTTGTCAGAAATATGTGACTTTGTGGTTCGTTATACACTTGTGTTCTCAAAGGTAGATGTAC